AAGGGCTGTCCAGGCAGAGGGACAAGTAAGGAAGAGGATGTGACTGACCTTATGAGCATCTGGACAAATGAACATGAAAATAAGGGGGATGGGACCATCCAAGCCCATGAGTGCCACCAGCGTCTGCATAAACTGCATTACAGTATTGGTGGAGAAATGGCTTATTTCAGTGCTGACAGCCAAGAGAGTGACTTGGAATAATTGAGTCAGTTATGGGGAGATGAGGTAAATATGGAGAAGGTGCCAGTGAGAGTAGGCAGGGAGGGAAGGTACTCTGAGGTAAGTTCTAATGAGAGCTTTGCTTTGCATTGTTTTCCTCTGACCTGCAGTTCCTTCATTTCAAAACAATATCTTACATTGTAAAGAAAAACAAAACAAAACAAAACACCACCTTCCATTTCTGGGAGTCTTCACCATTTTGAAAGCATTTGCACATCCATTTTTATATATAGCAACTCTGGAGGGTGGGAGGGTGTTATCCCTGCTCCTTATTTAACTGAGAACTGAGTGAACGGTTCCCATGGTCAGCAGTGGACGGAACAGGACTCAAAATTTCTGACTACAAACCCGCTGTGCAATTTTCTCCCCGACACTAGAGAACCTCAGTCCACTAGTCAGTCAGTATTAGTCCCATGCCAGTGACTGTTTTCTTTCTCAAGAAGGTAGAAATAAAAATATTTTTTATGACCAAGAGAAGCGTTTATATTACTCTTGGATTAACTACAGAGTGGTTTTTATGTGTCAGACTAAATAGACGCCTGTTTTTTACATTCAACTCTACACAAACAGAGCATTTTCAGTTTGCTTTGAAAGCAAAATACCATGTGTTGTAACTTTACAATGTTTTAAATAAAGTTAGGAATTTGGATTTATGATGCTGAAAAATATCATAAAATCGGTGGGTATAAGACCAAGAACTATGTATGTGAGTTGAGGGTCCTTAAAAATTCGACACTTCGAAGAATCAAAGGTAGACATTTCAACACACCAGTTATTGAATCATTGTATTAACAATCTAGTGAAACGAGAAGTGAATTATTAAAGTTTATCTTCCTCATTGATTTGTAACACTGTTATTCAGATAGTTTTTAAAGCAGAACAATTCAGCCTCATGAAGCCATTTACTGTACTGGTTTCTACACACTGCCTCTCTTTCTTTATTACTTCATTCTGGAACTTTGATTGCCCCATTTTAGATCTGAGATTGCTCTAATGCTACACTGCAATTGTATGAGGGGCTTAGTTTTCACTTTGTTCTCAGAACCCGGCTGGCTATAAATTTATCTCTGTTCTTTGAAGAAGCTAACAGTAAATTTCCAAGAGGAAAAATGGTGGTGTATATCCCTGTAGAGGAAAAGTAATCTCTTAAGAGCAGAATAACCTCCAGGCTACATCCTTTTAAAGAGGGACTTTCAAACAAGGATGCCTTCAACTTTTATATGTGTTCTGCATTTTTCTTCAGGCTTTGTACCTGCTCTTCTGCCCTCTGTGTAAGGTTTCTCTGTAATGATCCGTTCCTCCTCACACCCATTAAATCTGTAATGAAGTCATGCCCTTCCCAATCCTGATGTCATAATAACTTCCAGAGCTATGGCTAGAGAGCACATCCTGGAGATCATATGAGGTTTCCTCAGGAAAAGGAGGCATAGGGCCCAAGAGTTGGAATACCTACAACATCGAACTTCAGTTTCGTAAATTACCACACACTACAATGAAAATGAACTTTGTAAAGGAAAATCCATGGGAAGGTTTCCATCAGGTTTAACTGCATTCAAAGCAGTTTTCAATTTCAGGCATTGGGTTCATTCAGATTAAACCCATCCTTGCCAGAGATTGAGCCATACTCCCTCATCAACAGATAATAAGATCATTTAGAATGAGGAGGTGCTAAAATAACAGGACGAGCTTGTGGCTCTGTTTCCATGTCTGACAACTTCATCACCTCTCATCTTTATTAGACAGCTGCCTGGAGCTGAATGTTGATGAACGAGACATGCCTGGCGTCCTCACGTGTCAGACACACAGGCCTGAGGCTCCCAGTTACCAGGGGGTCTCTGGCTAGGCTGGGAGCGACCGAGGGTATTAGATGTGGTGCTAGCGGAGGTCTGGGGAGGGCCAGGGAGCTGTTGAACCCACATCATCCATCCTGCCTGTGCCTGCGATGTCATGACCAGGTGCCCTTAGGAGCTGCTTGTGGGGGAGCAGAGGGCACCCCAGCAGTGGTGACTGTGGTCACCAAAAGTGAGTCATCGTGGACAGGTTAACTTAGCCAGCATATTTTTCTGACCTCAGAAAGTTCCAGAAATCGTTCCTTTTGCCATTTCCTTCAGCCTAATTGTCCTCTTTCTCATTTTATGCCCCTGCTAGACCACCGCTCTTGATAAGGAGAGGCAGGTTTTCCGACGAAGACGCCACCCGGATGTGAGGAGCCGGTACAAGGCCCAGCCAGCTCCGCCCGAACTCAACTCGGAATCGGAAGACTACTCCCCGAGCTCCTCCGAGACTGTTCGCTCCCCAAACTCGCCCTTTTAACAAGACCCTTTTACTCGAAGTCCTAGCTTAACCCTTTGAGACTCTGAGATTTGTTTTTCCAAATTTATGTAAAACAGTTTCATCTGATCTACCTAGCACTCAATGCTTGAATGGCCGAGCAGAACAGTGTGTTTTCTGGTATCCTTGTAGCGATTTCCCTTTGCTGAATGAGACTGTGACTTGTCGTTGGTGGAGATGGCAACTTGCTGCTAATCGGGTCCTCAAAGGGTTAAGGCTACTTTGCAACTTTTTTAAACATAGAAGCAATGAATGTTTTCATCAGTCAATCTAGGATCTGCAGTATGTAACATAGCACTTGTTAACCCTCTGAGTGCATAGGATTTTATGGGGAACCCTTGGGGGATTTTTCAGGCCTTTGGATTTATACACACATGTTTCTTGACTTTGCTGCAGATCAAGGGGTTGTTATTAGATGCTGAGATGTCCAGACAAGAAGAGTGTCTAGAATGATATCTTACGTGTCCTTTTTTGTGGGTTTAGAACATGGCAGGTTTATAACTTAAGCATCAGCACCCCCTCTTTCCTCTTCACAATCCTATTAAGAAAGGGGCTTTTTTTGCATTGGAGGTCTAACTGTCAGCTGCCCTGAGTCCTGCATCCTGAGTGGAGGGACTTGGGCCTGTGACCAACAGCCTGACCCAGGATATAGATGGTGCCCTCACCCCCAAATTGCCTCCATATGAAGATGTGCTGATGACGCCCCAGAAATGCTGCTTCCACTTCAGCTGCTGCTACTGCCAGCGCAGACCCTCAGGAAGGCACCATATCTTGTCCTGTGTTTGGTGAGTGAGAGTCTGCCTGCTCAGTATGAGACCTCTACAGGAAAAAACAAACAAAACACACAACTGGTGGAAAAGAGCAATAAATTGCCAGGTGCTCTATAGGGCTGGAATGTCAAACAGAAAGAGGCAACAAGATCCTGTTCTTTTTCTCACCTGCTTTTTCATGCATTTCAGTCTTCAGTGTGCAATCCACAAAGAGTATGGAATCCGTAAAAAGGAGGAGCACCGGGTCATAGGGGCCCAGAGGCAGGTGCTCTGCAAGATGGCCGAGGAGAAAGCAGAGTGGGCAAACAATCTAGAATAGTCTCAAAATGGTTTTTAAAGAAATAAACCATTGGGAAGATAATTCCATGTGCATCTTTGGGTTACCTACATAATAGTCTCTCAGGGAGAACAGGAATGGGAGACCTAGAGGGTATTCCTGAGGATAAAACTTCCACTCCCTAAGATGACTTTTTTTTGTTGTTTTGCGGTACGCAGGCCTCTCACTGTTGTGGCCTCTCACTGTTGCGGAGCACAGGCTCCGGACGCGCAGACTCAGCGGCCATGGCTCATGGGCCCAGCCGCTCCGCGGCATGTGGGATCTTCCCAGACGAGGGCACGAACCCATGTCCCCTGCATCGGCAGGCGGACTCTCAACCACTGCGCCACCAGGGAAGCCCAAGATGACCTTTTTATAGCACTGTCTTTAGCCATCCAGAGGGAGATGCTGTTTTCTCTCTTTGGGCCAAGTCCTGTCCGACACATGTATTTTACTCCTGTTACCAAATCTTTCTCCCTAGCCCTGTGTCTCCCCCGGTGAGCTTCTACTGCAGTGTGTCACGTTCAGAATGGGGGCCTGAGGCAGCCTGTAGTCACTGCGATGCTTAGTGGGGAGGCTGGCCATGGTGTTGGGAGGCAGGGGCCCGACTCGAATGTCCTCCTAAGGTTTGCTCAACTGTGTGGCCCGGGAGACAACCAGTGAGTGATGGCTCATGAAATTTGCATCTAGATGGCTGAACAGCACTCACTGTCTCGGCTTTGAAATATACTTCAATACCTGAAAGTCTTGAAATCTGTGTGCAGCACTTCCACAGTCAGTCCTTACTTTCAAATACAGATGGATCTTCGATGGCTGCTTTTTACTCTCCAACTGATGAAGGTATGGTCTATATTACTCTAGATTTTAAAATCACAGCATGTCATGACTTTTGCAAAATTGTTCCCTCAGTTTTTTGCTCTTTCACATTTAGGTTTATCTCTTCGGTCTGTGTTGTCTTGCCATGTATATATTAGATCATTTAATGAGATTCCCCCCTGCCCCCCACTCCCTTTTAGAGGGTCCTGAAAGCTTAATACACAACATCACAAAGTAGCACAAATCAGCTGGGTTTCTTGGGGAGGAGGAGGGCAGAACACGAGGAAGGGTGCGGCGTGTAGGTAGATTCCATATTAGTAAAGTTCCCTGAACTGGTCAGAAACGACTGCTTTCTCTAGAACTCTAAAGTAAAGCACTATTCTAAGTAAGACTAAGGAGTAGGTAAATAGCTTGGCCTTAACTCTAAATGTGGGAATATGAAAAAATCCTATGGGCAGAGACCTACCTACAATAGATTGTGAATTTCTCTGAATTACTGCTTTTCCTGTGGGCATTACATGTATTGCTCCAATATCTAGTGTACAGACCTTACAGTGCATGGCTCAGGCCTTTTTCCATCCAAGTCTTGAAGGACTGTGGACCGTGTGAAGCTGTGGCGTGTTTCCCAGAACACTGCAGAGGGGTAGCTCGGAAGAATGCAGGGCCATTCAGCATGGGGATCCCAGTGCATCGCTGTAGAATTTGAGCGATCTATGCTGAATAAACAGCGGAATGTGACCTGTCAAGTAGAAATATTGAGTAATCAGATGGAATGCAATCTTTTCAGCACTAAGCTATTGAGATCCTGAATGTCAGAGATGTACTCAGAGGGTTAACAGACAAGCACAAGGCATGCTGATTACGTGGGTGTACCCAGACTGCTTTTGCTTTTAGCCAGTACTTTCTGTTTTTTTTCACAACATTCTTGGGATAGTTCAAGTTTGAAATAATTAAGTGGTGGTGTTCTTTAAGGAATTTCTATAACCAAATGATCTTATTTTTTATTTCACTTTATTATAGAATAAACATGTACCATTACGGCAGTGTATCTAATCTCTATAATTATCAATTTAATCATTGCCACAAGTGTCTCCATATTTTTTTTCCTAAGTATTTAATATAGCTCTTATGGTGGTGGCCTGGTGATGGGGACTGTCTTTCCTTTATTGATACATGACCAACCATATGGTATTTTCAAGGGAATTTTAAGATTCATTTTGTTTCAGTTTGGTAGTAGACTTGTTAAGGAAAAAACTTTCATTACTGGCATCGTGTAAACCATCTCTGTAGATGAGAACTGTTCATATTGATGAACACATTTTTTTCTCGACATTGTAGCAGAAATCATTTTATTTGTCATAATCAATGAATATGTGATTTGCTCCAGATCATTAGAAGGAAAAGTAAGATTTCAGTCATTGAAAATGTTTTTACTGTAGCCCTTATCTAACTTACACGTGGTGCATACTAAAATAAGCAGAGAAAAAATTGCAAATAAACTACTGAAAACGCTTGGTGTTTTGTGTTCAGTGAGACCTTCCTAGAACCTGCTCAGGACCTGCACGGGTGGTGGTTAACAGGCCCATCAGATATTGTTGAAAAAAAGCAATATATCCATGAATGAAGGCTAAAATTGCAATCCTTTACCCTTTGAGGTATGTTTCACTTGGAAAAAAAAATAGAAGAAAAGAAAAATTGGCTTAGCTTAGAGGGTCACGGAGCTATCGTATGACCAAGGCTCATGTACATTAAATCATGGTTGTTTGCTGGCCAGCAGTGCCCATTAGACGACTCTATCCCCTGTGCTGAAAGGCAATGGTGCTTGAGGGAGAGCTTTCTTAATATTATTGTGTTGCCTGCTAGCCTGTCTCTGGGTCAGGATCTGTCAGCATTTCCATGATAAACTTCTAATTTCAAAGGTTTTTAATTTGACCATAAAAAGGTGCCCCAGGCTGAAGTTTGCTGTAGAGGGCCTGTTCCAAAGAGTGAAGGTTCGCCGCCTTCCTTTCTCTGCCCAATTCTCCCGAGAAAAGAACAACCAAAAAATCAGGTATGTTCCCTCATTGTGAATTCAGAATTTTAGAAAGCACCAAGATCCAAGATGGTAGTTTAATGTAATTATTCATTTGGATGTGGGTTTAAAAACAAATAATGAGTCACCTGGCATATATTGTAGATAATGTATCTTTTCTATAATTTGTAAATCGTTAATTTTTTAAACTGTTATATGATTTCAGGGTGGGGCGGGGGGGAATCCAATCAAAGATTTTTTAAAACTTGAAGTTGGTCAGTTCAAGGGTTAGCCTTTCCTGCGTGTTGTCTGCCATTTCCATTAAGAGTTTGGGAAAAATGCTCTCAGACAGACCCTTATTTTGCATGCAGTGATAGAGGGTCAGATATATGCTTCTTTGGGAGATACGGATTTCTTTATTTAATCAAGTTTCATGAAGCCATTCTGGTCTGTTGAGGAAAATAGTGATTAAAAGCACTTCCAAATTAACATTTTTGTCAATTCGGATATGATAAGCACGTAATATGATAACGCACTTCACACTTTCTTGGTTTAAAGACAAAAAAATCAGCAAAACTTGAGGACACATTTGATCACTGCAAATGTGCTTTAAAAATTGGCTCAGTGGTGCTTATACATGAAACAGTAACAAATGGGGTCCCTAGGACTGTCAGAAGGAATCTTCCATTTGTATGTAGTTACATACTTGAGGAGGTGGTGCTTTTAAGGCAGTCTTATTTTTTAATCATCTCAAATATGCAACCATTCATCCAGTAACATTAAGGGTCGTAAACTGGTGGGAAACAGGAAATTCAATGTAGAAGCTGAGAATGCCTCTGCGTGGTGTGGTTTTTATTTTTCCTTTGGATTTTTTGTTGTTGTCATTCTCGGGCTTCAACGCTGAAGCTATGCGATCATTTTTCAGTGAGTGAGCCTCTAACCGGCAGGTGTTTTGATCATGAGGTTTGCAATCTCTTGCCCTTGGAGACAAGTGAGAGCTCTAGTTTCATACCTTTTCATAAAGGAAGAGCAATCTCTACAATTAAACCCTACCTGTAAATGTCCTCAACATTCTTTTTTGGTTAACTGATGTGAGACCCTTAATGTTGCTTCAATGTAAAATTGTATATTTTTGTCTGTGATATACTTTATTAACTTAAAGTAAATAATAGTTCTAAAAGTCTTCACTGTCGGTATTAAGAGAAAGTAGGATCTTAAAAGTGATCATAAAGATGCTATAATGTCAATTCATTCCAGTCCAATCGAATGTGGTAAGAAAAAGACCTTGAATAATTCTCTAGGGACAATTTCTCACTGACCATTGACATTAATTTTTGATATATTCTCAGAAAAAATAAAAAGAAATTGAAACTGGTCCAAGGTTAGAGTCACATCCTCGATAACTATTTTTTTTTAATTTTATTAGGAAATTAATAATGGTCTTTTTCAATCTGGCTGAAAGAAAATTATTAAAGGATTAGCTGAGTGTGAAATTAAATAGTATTTTGCTCATGCATACTGAAAAGGTGGGCTAGGAACCTGATGCATTTAAACAAGTTTCTGAAAGGTTTCAATTTGGTGCAAGAAAAAAAAAACAGTGTTTCCTTCAAAAATACTGAATTTATCAATTGCTGCATGGATCAGATGGCACAGGTTAATCTTTGATTTTCAGAATCTTAATGAAATAACTTTCAAACAATTTGTATCCATGATTAAAGCTGGAATGAGATCCAATTTTTTTCCCTAATCTCTCAGTTTAAGCTAATAAATGTAGGTTAATGTGGATGAAATCATCTGTGATATATTATGTTCATTTATCAACTGAGCTTTTTTGATGTTGCCTGTTTTTATGTAAAACATGTTCTTAAAAGTTAATAAAATAATAGTACTTGGTGTATGAACTGCTACGTAATACCCGAGCTCCAGTGTCCACTCCTCAGTTCACTTTGCCATAATGGAGTAAAATTTCATTTTAGTTCAATTCATAATTGACACATTCAGTCCATGAAGGAATAACCCAGCTGTGTTCTTGAGGGGAATTCTCTCTATGCAAGGCTTTAAAAATTAGTCATGCAGTCAGAGTGTAGCTTTCCCACATGTCCTTCCTAGCAGAGTGTATATTTCATGAGCATAATTCAAAAACAGCTATTCTAAAAATGTCCCTTTTCATATATTACCTTCCTGCCTGGGCCAGTGACTTGGATAAACACAAAGAAATCAAATACCATTCAGGCCTATTTTACCCTTCCACCTAACAAGATCTCCAGAGAAGAGTGTTGTTTTATCTGCTAACCTGTAATTAGCTGCCATTTTTATAGCGATGTCCCATCAGGCATCCCATGTGCAATACTGACCTTAGAGAAAATCGCCATGCTGTACAAGGGAATAACGTTCTTTCTTACGTGAGTTGTTCAATGCTAGGAGATTGAAAAGTCGGCCAGCAAAAGTGACTGCAGGACCCTGGTGTCCTAGGAAGGTGCCAGAATATCTCCAAGCACTTGTAAAATTAGCAGTCACCTTCCTGGCCATCTACATGCTGCTGCTGCTACCGCTGTTGCTGTTTTTGTGCCTTTTGCTCCTCTGCAGTGAAATTGCTGGGTCCTTTCTAGGATTTCGGGGCAACTGCTGTGAAACAATAGCTAAAGTGATTGCTTCCTAAGGACCATTACCTTGTTTTATGAGGCTGGCGGCTTTGCCAAAAACCTGCCATCAGAAAAAAACGTGCCCTGACACAGAAACATCAAACACCGGCAACTCTGGGATTGAGGATGATAAAACTACCACATCAGGAAACTGGGAGAAAGGCCTTCCAGGACTTTTGAAAGGTAGGACTTAATGTTCAGATAAGGAAGTTCTGCAAATGGTGGTAAATGGGTCAAATAAAACAGGTGAAGAAGCGTCCTAGGAAATTCCGTACACTACTACCTCCTTACACAGAAGAAAGGCTTTGCTCTATCTCAGAAGGCAGCCAGCCTCCCCAGCTCCAGAAGGGGCACCAAGGGAAGAGGGGGAGCCCCGCCCAGCCAGCTGGACCAGCCAAATCCATGCTGGCCGCCAGCTCTGTGACAGATGTCCTTGCCAGCTTGCCTGCACATCCAAATCATTCATTCAGATGTTTCCTGAGTAAGTGCCAGCACCACAGAGGGTACCCCATTTGGGCTTAGAAAAGAGACACCCCATTGTCCTTTTTTTTTTTTTTTGCTATGGATTAGAAGACTTTAAAGATGAGAAAATGTGTTTCTAGCTGCAAGGTTTGCTATTTATCTCAGACTCCTGGTCCAGGGTTCAGATAACCTGGACATCACATCCAATCAGGCTTTGTGGTTATGGCAACTTGGATTCTCTCACTTGAGGATGTGTTTACCATCTGCCTGTTCAGTGGTGCACACACCCTGTGCTACTCTTGGCTCCGCTCCTGGCCTCTGGGGTAGAAGGCTCCCAGAGTCTTCTCTGCCGTTTGTAATTAGCATGCGATTTACAACTGTCGTAGACTAGCACATCTATTCAACAAGCATTCTCCAGGACCTACTGTGAGTGACGCACCACATGGAAGCCAAGATGAACAAGACACCACTCCTGTTCTTAAGAATCTCAGATCTAGTGAGAAATCTTCTCCTCTGGATGGCCATGGGCTGGGGCACCTGATTTATCACTCACAGATGGCCGACCAACAGTTTGTCGGGGGAGAGGCATCCCTACCAGCCCGAGACTGGCCCCCTCAGCATGTG